TCGTGATTCCTCTCTATCACCCAATTCGTAGCTGTCCACAGTATCTTCGAAGCCTCCATTACTGTTTTCTCGTACTTCCCTTGCTTCTCCGTGAGTTTTTCCGACACGGATTGAAACCCCTCCAGTGTTATGTTCACTTTCTCTCCTATCTCTTTGATCATACCTCGATAACTCTCGTGTGTTACCGTGAGAGTTTTCTCAAGCAATGCTTGTTCCTCTAAGTGCTTAGCTTCTTCTTTCCTGAAAGCTTCTTCTTTCTCCGTTAGTACCTGTTCGGTTACTCTTAGTTTCTGGTTCGACAATCGTAGCTTAACCTCAGTGTTACTGATCTTCTCCATGAGAGTTTCGATCTCGTCTCCTTTCATTTCCAGCTCGTTACGTAAACTCTCCATCGTCTCTTCAAGATTCCCGATTGCAGAGTCTCTGAAAGTTACATCCTTACTTGTCTCCTCCAACAATCTATGGGCTTCTTTGTGATCATCTGTTAGCTTATCGAGTGTTGCCTCACGTTCTTTGAACGTTTCATTGATCTGTTTGTGTTCCTCTTTGAGCATGTTGTAAGCAACTTCTTGCTCTACCAATGCTCTCTGAACATCGATGATTTGGTTCGACACTTCTGATTTCTCTTGCTTCACTCTATCAAGCTCTGCTTCGGTTTCGCTCTTCTGCACTTGTAGAGAATCAAGTTCATGCTGCAGATTGTTGATCTGTTCTGTTAAGGCCATTGTGTCAGCGGATGCTTCGTTGATCTTATCGCGCATTTGAACGTTCTCTTCTGTTTTAGTTCCCAGCTCTTCTTCAAGATCACTTCTCTGTTTCTGTAGAGTCTCTATCTCAACTTCAAGCCCCTTGATCTTCTCAGATAAACCATTTCTTTCTTCCAGAATAGTCTCGTGATCTTTGACCTTGTTTACGATCTCCTCTTTTAGATTTGTAACCTGACTCAAGTATTCAGAGATCTCTTCGGACTTCTTCTCAAGTTGGATCTCGAGTTCTGCTTTCTGGCTCTCAAGTGAGACAACTTTCTGGCCCAGACTATTGATCTCATCTTCCAAACTCTTAATCTGCATTGAAGCTTCATCGCCTTTGCTTGCCATTAGTTTCTCCAACTCTTCCTTTTGAGAAGTCATTGAATCTAGTCCTGCTCGTAAGCCATCAATCTCAGCTGTCAAACTCTCAATTGTGGACGATGATTGCTTCTCGTTATCATCAATTTTTTGGGTTAAAGCAGAGAGTTCAGTTCCTCTTTCGTCCATTGTCTTCTCAAGTTCCGAGATTCTAGCAACCATTTCTCTGTTTTGCGCTTCCAGTTGTTCAACTTGAGTGGTCTTGCTTGCAATCTCTGTTTCAAGATCTATTTTACGAGTGCGAACTGACTCTAGTTCCAGTTCAAGGGCCGCTACTGTTGCCTCTAGTTCTTTTATTTGCACTTGCGATTTGCTTTCCTTCTCTGTCTGAAGTAAAAGTTCGCCTTCTTTCTCGGTAAGCTGCTCTTTCAGTTTGCTTGACGCAGCTGTGAGTTCCTGTAACATGATCTGTACCCTTTCGAGCTCGCCTGAAGTATCTGAGATTTTATTGGACATGTTTTTGTTTTCTTCCTCTGCAATCTTCAGACTCTCGCTCAATTCCGCAACCCGTTGTTCAGATGACTTCAGTTGCGCTTCTAAATCACTTAAATGAGTGGATGATTCCCTTTGATGAGTCTCGTGGATATCCCTCAAACTGAAAAGTTCCTTGTCTTTCTCACTGTGGCTCTCTTTTAACTGTCCAGACTCAGACATTAGTTCTTGTATGGTGCTCTCCGCTTGCTTGATCTCAGTCGACATTTCTGAAATTCGCTGAGATAACGTTTTCTTCTCTTCCTCTGCACTATCCAGGCTCTGGTTCAAATCTCTAATCCTTTGTTCAGCTGATTCCACCAGTGCTTCTAGTTCTTTTACCTGACTTGATGAATCTCGCTTATGTGCCTCGTGTACCACCATCAAACTGGCAAGCTCACTCTCTTTTTGTATGTGTATATCTTTAGACTCTGCCAATTCAGCCATAAGTTCCTGTACCTTGTTTTGTGCCTGTTTGAGCTCGTCTGTAGTTTCCAAGATCTTCGAGGACATTGACGTTTTTTCTTCCTCTGCAGCATTCAGACTCGCACTCAAATCTGAAACCCGCTGTTCTGATTCTTTCAGTTGAGCTTCTAATTCACTTGTTCGGGTGGATGATTCTCGCTGGTGAGTCTCGTGGATGTCCCTCAAACCGAAAAATTCTCTCTCTTTCACACTGTGGCTTTCTTTCAACTCTCCACACTCAGACATGAGTTCTTGTATCGTGTTCTGCGCCTGTTGAAGCTCACTAGTGATTTCTGTGATTCTCTGAGAGAGCAGTTTCTTCTCTTCCTCTGCATTGCTCAGGCTTTGCTTCAAATCTGCAACCACTTTTTCTGATGATTCTACTTGTGCTTCTAATTCTTTCACTCGACTTTTTGAATCTCTCTGATATGCCTCGTGTACCTTTATCAAACTAGAAAGCTCACTCTCTTTCTCTTTGTGTCGGTCTTTCAACTCTCCCAGTTCAGCCATTAGTTCTTGTATCTTGTTCTGCGTCTGTTCGAGCTTGTCCAGAGTTTCCACATTTTTGGAGGAGATAGCTTTGTTTTCTTCCTCTGCAGCCTTCAGGCTTACACTCAAATCTGAGACCTGCTTTTCTGAGGATTCCAGTTGAGCTTCTAATTCACTCGTTCGGGTAGATGATTCTCTCTGGTGAGTCTCGTGGATGTCCCTCAACCCGAAAAATTCTCTCTCTTTCACACTGTGGCTCTCTTTCAACTGTCCACACTCAGACGTGAGTTCTTGTATGGTGTTCTGTGCCTGTTGAATCTCGTTAGAGATTTCTGAGATTCTCTGAGAGAGCTGTTTTTTCTCTTCCTCTGAATTGTTCAGGCTTTGCTTCAAATCTGCAACCAATTTCTCTGATGATTCCACTTGTGCTTCTAATTCTTTGACATGACTCGATGATTCTCTCTCATGAGTCGCATGTAACTCAACCAAAGTAGAATGCTCACTCTCTTTTTCCTTGTATTTTTCTTTCACCTTTCCCAGTTCGGAAGTGAGTTCTTGTATGGTGTTCTGTGCCTGTTGGATCTCACCTGAAATCTCTGAAACTTTCAAGGATAGAGATTTATTCTCTTCCTCTGCACTACTCATACTGCGGGTAAGTTCCGAAACTCGCTGCTCTGATGCTTCTAGCTGCTGCTTGAAATTAAAAGCTTCATCTTTGAGCTGATCACTTGTTGTTTTCCAATCTTCTGCAGCTTTTTCAGCTTCTTGAAATCTTTTGATACCATTGTCTCTCTCAGTTTGCAGTTCATCTCTTTCTTTTTTCATATCTTCCAACTTCTGGTTCAGATCAGTTTCTGTTTTGCCAGCAGCTTCCAATTTCTGATGTAGTTCTCTGTTATCACTCAGAGCTGCTGTCTTTTCGGCCTCTAACTTCTCAGTTTCAAGTTTCAAATTGCTGATGATATCTTCTGATTCTTTTAACTTCATCAAAGCTGCTCCAAGCTCAGAATCTACTGCTTCTTTTTCTTCAATACTCGTCGTCAACTTCCTTTTCAGATCAGCAATTTCAAGATTCGCAGCTTCGATTTGTTGCTTCAAGCCATCTGTTACCGACTCTACA